TATATATATAAACAGGGCCGGTCCTAAGATTTTTGATGCCCTGTGCGAAAATAATAAAAAATGCCCCTAAGCCTATTTTTTAAGTCAATAAAACAATGAAACATGCGATTTTTTAAAGAGTTTATAACCTATTCAAACTAAGTATCTCATCCTGATGTTGATTTTTATTAACTATAATTAAAAAATACAATGGAGGGGACATAAAAACCAAAACCCCGAATACAAAATATAAAATGATAAAATAATAAATCCTAGATTAAAATCGTGTTTTCTTCTTTTCCAGTTTTCTCTTTTCCAAATTGAAATTAGCAAAATAAAAACTTTATTTCAATATATGGAACTTAAAAGACAAGGAAAACTATAATTTAGTTTTTAAATAAAATAGTAAATTAGATCCAAATTGTTGTTATAGTAAGCAAAAAGTAAAACTTAAAAGTTACAGGTCTGACGACTAAAGGCTAAACGCTTATCTGTTAGCAGCTTAATAAGTTTAATGGAACTAACAGCTTATTCACTCAACTCTCAACTATGCATGACTGTTTCGTAGTGACTTAATGATATAGAAAGTGACTTATTCAGTAAACTTCTAGGGGGAACTTTATAGAAATCAATTTATTTTTCCAAACATATTCCTTTCAACTAAAAAAACGCTCTTTACATCTACGAAAAAACTCTCCCAAACAAAAACTTTTTCAACTTATACAAATAGATTAATTCATACAAACAACTTTATACAAACAAAAACTTTTTCAACTTTTCAACTTTTTCCATCGATATGCATTCAGTATTCATCACTACTAGGCCTTGGGCCTGTTTTTATAGTTAAAGCTCAGTGGTCAAATTCACAAATTATTAAACTTAAAACTAGTAATAAAGGATAATTTGATGCCCCTTTAGGCTTTGATGCCCTGTACGGCCGCACGGGCTGCACGTATACATAGAGAGAGGAGAAAGTGGTCTGGAATTTTTCATGAAAATGGCTTCATTATGGTTTCTCACAGAGTATATGTGGGGGTAGTGTGGGCATATCCGGGTCACTCCATGCTTTTCATATATATATATATATATATATATATATATATATATATATATATAGACTTGGGATCATATGAGACCAAGAATTTTTCATGAGACCCGTAAGACCAATTCTCATCCCTTGTATTAGATTTATAATTGTCAGATCTGAACATTCATAAATGTCACGAGACTTCTCAATAATTACAAAATTGCCACCGTGCAATTTTAGACCGTTAGATCATTAGTTTATAAAGTTGATCAATGAACATAAATTGATCTTATGGGTCTCACGAAAAACCCTGGGTCTCACGTGAACCCAACCCTATATATATATATATATATATATATATATAGAGAGAGAGAGAGAGAGAGAGAGAGGTTGGTTCAAATACTAACCCATTTTTTTGTGTTAACTATGCTAACCAATATCAACCAATCATGTTCCATTTTTTAGTTAGGTTCAAATATAACTCACATATTAAGTGTAAATATTAAGTGTAAGAGTATTTAGGTAATTTGTCATTTTTATGTAACTCCCCAATATTTTAATTGAGAGTTACAAATCTTAAAATATTACTAATTGATCTTCATGTAATAATGACATGAAGTTTCACATTTGTTCATCTTACTGATTTTTACAATTCATTCTTCCTACAATGGTTTTGATATTGTAAATTTCAAAAAAAGTTCCTTTTTGTAAAGATTCCGTTATAGTTCGAGTAATATGGATAATCATAGAGTAAAACAGATAGACGACAATGAGAATGAAAAAGTTAAAAGCATCTACGAATACATTCGGAATTCGAATTCCGAAAGTGAAGAAAATGATCAAACCGTTCATGCACATGTTCACTCAAACGTCGACATATGTGTTCACTCGTGTACATATGTGTTCAATTGGTTCACACAATATGTCCATTTGGTTCACACACATGTTTCAATTGTTCATTAGGTTCACACATTGTATGTTAATGTGTGTATAATATATATATTAATGCCATAATGTGTATGTAATATATATATACATACATATATATATACATACATATATATATATACATACATATATACATACATATATATATATATACACATACATATATATATATATCGTATTATCATGTCATGTCACCCTAATGAAACCGTAAATAAATCTCAGTTTTAGGCACCTGATTTATCAAGGAGATTAAATAAGTTTTTTACGTGATTATTCAAAGGCTCGTAAATGACAAAATTATTTAACGAGCATTTAGGAATTTGCTATGATTTATGTAGGATTGGCCGATTGGGAGATACTTTGTGATGATGATCCTACATTAAATTAAATCAAGGTTAGTATTCATGAGATTTTTTTCAGATATACACATACGTATACGTTTTTTTGGATATTGTTAATTATTTGGATATATTATGCATTGATGATTTATTTTTATATACATTTTTACAGATGTATGTTTCCATGTATGTAATTATTATATAGGAGATTGCATGCTACTAGTTTAATTGGTTTACAAACATTATAAGCATGTTATTTTTCGGGTTGATTTCATGTGGCACATTTTGGTGTCGATATTTGAGCATAGGATCTGGCTCGATATGTCACTCTTGGGGGTGGCACAACCCCGAAGTAGATACCTGGATGAGTGTGAGCCGTGCAATCTGGGGAATATAGTGACAAGATAGAACTACCCGTTGAGGCAACTCACTATAGTGTCATATGCTTTTTGAAACAATATGCATACTATTTTACTGATGGAGTGTGTATTTATGTGCATGTAAACATAAATTCACTAAGCTTTTTACTGATTATTAATATGTATTTCAGGAGCCGGTGGTTCGGGTTCCGACAAAGGGAAGGGCAAGGTGTAGATAGGTTCCTTTATGCTATGTTTGTTTCTATGCTTTGCTAGTTGTTAAACTTAGCTACCTTGTATTCGAGTATTATGTATCATAGTTTGCTATTTGTTATCACTTTAAGTTAAAGACTTCCGTTGTGATGGTGATTTCCATTGCATCTTATCATCATCTTTGACAACATAAGGTAATATTTGAATGAATGATATGACATTACTCATGATGGAAATGAGGGTGTCACAAGCAAGATGGTAGAAATTGACAAAAAGACATAAATATCCTTAAGGTTAAATGAGGAAATGAATGGTTTTTTTGGCTCAAGGACCAAATCCAACCGAAAGTGTATACCACAAGGCATTCTATGTAATAGATGAAGTCTACGACCAAATTTACAGAAAGTGTATACCACAAGGACCACATCTATAATTTACAAAAAAAATTATAGTTAAATAAGATGTAAAAATATAAACTTAATTAATTTACTTAAATTAATTAATATACAATAACAATTGTAATAGTTAAATAATAATTAATAAATAACCTTAATAACCTTATTTCGTTGATTTATATAAATTACATGGACCAAGTGATACATAAACTTGAAATATCATACATTAAACATTATTACAACCCATAATCAACATACTTATTGTACGGGTTTATGACATCTTTATCACAAATCACAGAAATCATTTATTTTACCACAATTATCATAAAATCATCAAACTTACTACAGAATCGGTTGTGTGCGTACGTGGTAGATCATCATCATCAAACTTGGTATGTTACAGTAGCGGCAGTGGGAGGAGATAGATCATGATCATCCCGATCGAGAGGTGATAAAACCCATTCCCCACTTTCATTAAGCACCATTCCTTTGTGCTTCTCACTCCACCATGATTGAGGTATCTGGTACTTCTCTTTCAACAGATCAGCCGACATGTTCACCAAAGCCAAACTCCTCCTCTTCTCTACTGATTTCCAATTAAACTCTCGATCTTTCCCATCATAACCAGCCACAGTGTGCAGCATACCCTCCAAGTTATGGAAATCAAGAGCGTGAACGATATCCAACCCACCTTTCTCTTTGAAGAAAGGTGACTTCTTACTGTCAACCATTAAATGAATCCCAACGTCGACATACAACATGACATCTTTTGGTATCTTCACTAAATTAAGTTTGCCATCCATCCATTCCATTATCTTGCTTGGCCACTTAGGGATGATATCGTTAACATTCTTTATGCTCAATACTTTGAGGTTGGGTAGTTCCTCCATCTTTTTCTTGAAAGCCTGGTTACCCACTTGTGGAGAAGCAAAAACAAACGCCGAGACCTTGATATCAGGCGTTGCAACATTCGCAGCAAGGTCAAAAGCAGATACAGTTGCGAGGCTTCCACCAAGACTGTGTCCAACGCATGTTATGGTTATTTTTTCATCTTTGTACTTAACCAGTAACTCTCTGATTCGTGCCAAGAGCTGTGTTCTAGCACTTGTTTTCACCAATTTCGAATTTGGGTTACTGGTGTTGTAAATGATAAGCCATCCTTCCATGACTTTTGGTTTGTCTATTGCTGCACCAATTAGGCTAGTAATACTCTTATCATTTGCAGGAGGGAGCAGTGGGTCAGCTGGCACCGGCCCGGCGTCTTTGATGTCGTTTATCCACTCGTAAGTTCGTACAGTCCCACGCCATACCACACATATCTCGCGGCGGCCTATGGACTTGCTGAACTCATCATTGGAAACTGCTACGTACCCCATCCAGTTTGATTCGAAATCGCTTTTTTCACGAGACTTGTCATGGATGAGAAAACCAAGCGAAATGTCGACATGAGCTGTGGCATAGATGAAAGAAGTGACATTGTACTTTGATTCAGCCAAGGGGAGCATGACTCCTTTGAAGAAGGAGCTCTTGCCATACTGGCTGTAGCCGGAGTACTTGGCGTTCTCGTTGTTATTCAGTGCCCGTTCAGCAGCTGAAGCAAGATCGCCATAGCCAAGAATAAGAGTACGTAGGTCTGGGTTCAAGGGGTCAAGAAGACCATCCCAGTTATTGCTGCCATGCAACTCTTCGTAGGTTGTTAAAGCCATTTGGAAGGGGTTAGAAAGATGAGGTGATTGTGAATAGCTGGCTTTTTCTTCTTTGTATTAGCTTGTTGGTGTGCTTACATCTTGAAGAATGGATCCCAATTTATAGCAAGGTCATGATAATGACACTTTAGGCATGCAAAACATATGGGTTTTTTTATGATATAAAGAATTAATGACTGGTTCAGAACTTAAACAATGAGCATGGTAAAGTTTTTTTTAATAGTTGGGGAGATGGTAACATCAAAGATCATATAATTCTCAATTTGTAAATCAAACTCATCATAAGAAACCACATGTAACCGTAAAAACCTCCATTGCCATAGGTATAGATAGATAGACCAATCGACCACAACGTCCTACATACAAGTTGTCCTAGGTGAAAGCGAGTGCGTCTAGCAAATTATTTTCATTTTTTTAACTATCTTTGGACTTCATTTTAATTTGTAGTCATTTTTTACACAAAAACTTTATGCACATATATGCATAAAGATTGGTTTTCGATCATTCTTTATGTAAGGATTCTACTTTTTTTTATTGAAAACCAATCCTTATGTATATGCACAAGGCTTTTGCATAAAGATTGACTACAAAATAAAATCGAGGTCTAAAAAATACACCCCTTTTTAACAAATTGGTTATTTCTATAAATTTTCGTTCTTACAACTACTTCATTGCCAGGGCCGGTCTTAAGATTTTTTATGCCCTGTGCGAAAATAATAAAATATGCCCCTAACCTTAATTTTTAAGCCAATAAAACAACGAAACATGCGATTTTTTAAAGAGTTTAGAACCTATTCAAGCTAAGTATCTCATTCCCATGTTGATTTTTATTAATTATAATAAGAAAAATACAATGAGGGAAACATAAAAACCAAAACCCCGAATACAAAATATAAATGATAAATGGATAAATTCTGGATTATAATCATGCTTCCTTCTTTTCTAGTTTTACATTTTCCAAATTAAAATTAGCAAAATAGAAACTTTATTTCAATATTAGACAAAGAAAACTATAATTAGTTTTTATCTAAGATAATAAATTACATCCAAGTTATTGTCATAGTATGCAAAAAGTAAAACTCAAAAGTTACAGGTCTAATGACTAAAGGTTAAAGGACTATATGTTAGCAACTTAATAAGTTTAATGGATCTAACAGCTTATTCTCAACTATGCAACTTAATAGGTTAATGGCTTTATGATATAGAAAGTGACTTATCCAATAAGCTTTTAGGGAGAGCTTTATATAGAAAACCAAAAAAAAAAAATTCCAAACATATCCCTTTTAACTAAAAAAACGTTCATTACGTCTGCAAAAAAACTCTCTCAAACAAAAACTTTTCCAACTTATACAAACAACTTTATACAAACAAAAACTTTTCCAACTTTCCAACTTTTTCCAACGATGTGCATTCAGTATTCATCACTACYAGGCCTTGGGCCTGTTTTTATAGTTAAAGTTCAGTTGCCCAATTATCAAATTATTAAACCCAAAACTAGTAATAAGTGATAACTTGATGCCCTTTTAGACTTTGATGCCCTATATGACCGTATAGGCTGTACGTGACCATGGCCGGCCCTGTTCACTGCCAACTATTCCAACCATCAATCCTTTTATCTCATCGCTTCCGGTATTATTCCTCCATTGGCTGCACCTCAATCCACTTGAAATTTTTGTCTTTCTGGGTCCAATAATTTGTATGGTGATGGCACATTATTGGTGGCAGCATTCCATAGATGATATATGCAAGTTATTATTTTTTATAATAATTAAACTATTGGTTTCTTATGAACATATTCAAAGTAAAATTGTCGATTAAGAACAACAAATAAATGCATCCATAATCTAATCACGATACTCACATGTGAATTTATTAACTGTAAAACCATTTATAATTTACCCAACGTTATGTCATATATTATTCACATGTGGATATTAACTTGTGAATATCAAATGATTTAATTGCAATAAAATCACCGGTTAAGAACAACAAATAAATGTATTCAAATTGTTCATAGAAGTATATTCACATTTGAACATTAACTAATATAAAATCATTTACATTTTACCCAAGGCATATATATATATATATATATATATATATGTAAGTTTATATATTATTCAATTATGAATTATCTATTACATTTTTACTTAGGGGTTGTTTATTTATCTCTTAATAGTTTCATTAAGAGACAGTCTCTAAATCGTTAAGAGGTGAATCTTAATTATTTAGCAAAAAAAAAAAAAAAACAAGTTTATCTTTTAATGGTTCTAAAACTCTCTGAATAATTTTATATCCTAAGCCTCCTTTTACCATTCAGTGTCCTAATTTCATTGTAAACAATTACCAAACAATTATAATTCATTGTGTACTATATCATGAAAGTCTCTTAATTATTCTGACCACTTAATCATTCTGCACCAAACTATTCAGCAACTGCCAAACAAGACTTTACTTAATTTGTTACATATTGTATTAATATAATTTTCTATGATTTCACTTATTACAAATTGCATATCAACACAATTTTCTATGATTTCAACCCAAATAAAAAAGCATTTTAAAAAATACACTTAATAATTATAATTAAGATCATTTAGATTTAGAAGAAGAAAATTTATTTTTTATTTGAAATTTTTAGCTAAATGTAATGATCAAGGAGTTTTATGTGTTGGTTTGTTTCAGATCTCATTAAATATGCCATAAAACATTTTTAATTAAAATTATGATTATTGAAAGCCAATATTTGATTCAAGCACTGGATGAATGTTATAAGTTTAATTCTTTATTTTCTTTAAGTTTCTTATTCAAAACATACATACATACATGCATGTGTACATATTATATATATAGGAGACTTTTTCGTGAGACCCGTAAGACCAATTCTCAACCCTTGGATTAGATCTACAATCTCAATATTCATAATCACAAAATTGACATGAGATTTCTCAATAATTACAAAATTGCCACCGTGCAATTTTAGACCATTAGATCGTTAGCTTATAAAGTTGATCAATGAATATAAATTGGTCTCACGGGTCTCACGAAAAACCCTGGGTCTCACGTGAACCCAACCCTATATATATACATGCTTGTATACATATTATATATATATATATATATATACATACATCATGAACGTACGTTTTTTAATAGAGATCCCAAAAACGAAAAAACAAAAGAAAACATTAATTATATACATTTATCTAATTTAATCATATGGCCCTCGTTAAATAACTTTTTATAATTAAAATGGACATGAAGGTATTTTAAACCACAATTACATAAAACTTTATTTTTAAATTAAAATACTATAGATTACCCTCTTTGTTGTTAAAATATTTAATTTAAATTTAATTAAACAAATGATACTAGAATATGAGTTTTTTTTAATTCTCCTTTGACACCCCTTTTGACATATATTTTTGAGTTTTAAATTACAAGATATATTTAATATATATATATATATATATATATAGGTATATATAGAGAGAGAAAGCTTTTAAGAAAATCCTACATAAATTAAAGATTGAACAATCTAATGGATGTGATTAAATAGACAGTTACAACAATATTTTTTAAATTAAAAAACCTCATCTTCGACTTTTTATTCTCAAAAGACAAAAAATAAACTACATAAAAAATACGATCATATTTTTTTCATTAATTTGACATCTATATTGATATACTTTTTCATCATTTTTAGTGGTTTTTTGGTTTTCCATTTATTTAGTGTTTTCCCCTTAACTTGAACCTAACCCTATATATAGGAGGGGTCATTCAAAGAGAACTTGGTATTTTATGAGATTAATGAGATCATATACAATCTCCAAATCCAAGTTTAAATTAGAGAATTAATTATTTTTGTAATTTTGACTTAAAATTTTAAATAATGGCATTTAGGTATTTTAGAAATTTTATGCCTCCTCTCCCATCTCCACTCCAGCGTGAATATTCCATTGTGATACTTATGGTATACATATTCACTACAAACAAATAACTTGTATCCATAAAATCATTCAGGGAAATTTTGGTCGAAGAATACCAACAGATCATTTAGAAAATACCAATGGTTATGAGCAAATTTGATATTTTTCAAAAAAAATATCACCAGATCACCTAGAAAATAAAAACTTAGGGGTAAGAATCCAACAATATGTATACATATATTAATTCCCCTACCTCCGTAGGTCAACCTCCTGTATGTAAATGTGATCGTAACATCTTAAAAAGAACATCAATCCCTTCCCTCATCTTCTTTAGCTGTGGTGGAAAACGGGGAGTTCCCTTACTACGGCGAAAGTAGTTCAATATTTTCTTTCAACTCTCATCAATCTTGACAAGTGAATGCAATTTATTTTATCAATAGGAACTTAGAATGTTGTGATAAAGCGCGGTGAATGATTCTAAAAACAAGATAACTACATCTGTATTGGTGTCACTGTTATCTCGTTAAATATGAAAATCTAGTTGAAATCATCTTTCGAAACAAAGTTTACATAAACCATTTTTAAAGCATTTACAAAAAAAAAAAAATTTGTCAAGCCCAAATCAACGTCATCATCGTTGTTACAAGCTTGATAAAATTGTCCTAACCGTCTTATAAGCGGTCTAGAATTGTCCAAGGACTAATAACTCTATATTATATATTATATATTATATAATATATTATATAATTGTAATATAGCTAAAGAAGAAGAAGAAAATAGTTTCACAAAATAGGAGATTTTCACATATAGTTGTTTTTGGTCTACAAAATATTTCACCATCTAGAGAATATTGAGATAATAAAATTAGGTTAAGTAATTATAGGATTGTTTTTTATGTTATATAAATTTATAATTGAGGAACATAGGCTTCCACTAAAGTTTTTTTTAATTAAAATGCCAAAAATATTTTTTTAAAGAAATATCTGACAGGGTGTCTATCCTGGATGACATTATTTTTGTTTTGTCTAAATCCGATAATTGATATTTATGCATCGTTTGAATAATATAAGCTAACTTATTTTTTGATTGCATATTTTAATAAATATAAATTATCTTATAAACTAATTTATACTTGGA